CGACGGCGCCCCGCTGGCCCTGACGTTGGCAGTGGAGCCCGCCAACCTGTACGGCCAGTCCTCCGCGGGATCTCTTAGCTGCGGCCACAGTCGCAGCTCCCTGAGGAGCATGACGATGGGACACGGTAACGGCGGCGCCGCCACCGTCCCCGGCGGCGGTGGCGGCAGCTTCCGGGTGGCGGCATCTGCCGCCAACGGCACCGCCTTGCCGCCACTCTCCGGAGAAATGCTGACCCCCGGGACCTCGTCTCTTCCCCCCGGCATGGCGACGAGCCCGCGATCCCAGGGCGCCGGCAGCGGCAGCGGAGCTGCTGCCGTGCAGGCGGCGGCGGCGGCGGTTCCGCCGCCGGCCCCCGGCCTGCAGCGTTCCCGCGCCGCCTGGAGCTACGTGCCGCATCCGGGCGGCGGCGGCGCCGCTGACGGCGGCATGGGGCCGCTGACGGCGGCCGCCAGCTCAGAGTTTAACGTACCGAGTCCGCTACCGTCCCTGTCCGCGGTCCCTGTCCCTGTGTCCGTGTCCGCCGGGGGCGCCTCGCGCCGTTTTCCAGTGGCCGTGTGGGGCGGAGGAGGGAAGTGACATACGAAGTACATACGGCTCCCTCCCAAAGCGGCGCGCAGACGAGCAGAAACCTCTTGCTATTACTGAAATCTTCCACATCCACTGCTGTCCAGTACTGATGCTCGCCTTGCTACAGCGGTTGGGGTTCAAAGCTGGGCGTGGGCGGTATACGTGACACGCGTGCTGCGTGGCGCGTTTTGTAAACGACGGCGGGCTATCTGTTCTGGGCCTTGTCGGATGCGTGTCGTCGTCCTGTTTGTAAACCCTTTTTTAGGCTACTTGTAGGGTATAGCAGTAGCGGTATAGCAGTAGCAGTAGCGCCTCCAGCGTTACATTGCTGCCACAGCGCTTTCCAAAGCTCCTACTTGTATTGTTGCTCTTGGAAGTGAGGGTGAGGTTGGGGATGTGGGCGGCGGCTGCTTTGCTGCACCTCTGCAGCCGCCGATGTGTCGTTGTCCACACACGCTTTCCGGCTGATGCCGCTGTTGTCCTAATAGTGTTAATGTGTTGGCGGTGATGATGGTGGTGGAATGGGTGGTCATGGAACTGGTAATGGAAGTGGGACGCATGCATACATACATACATGCATACATGTGCAATCCTCGTTTTCCCACGGGAAGGGACCAGGGCCGTTGTTAGGCTGTCTGTCCTGATGACCACTTGATGTACGACAATCAGCTTGGCAGCTGCCGTACCGTACGGCATGCAAGACGTGTTTAATTTGGTGCAGGGTGCCATGCAGTGATGGAGTGAGGTATTGTGAAGACTTGGCGGGTTGCGTTGTGGCAGGTGCTGTGGCAAATGAGATTTATGTGCGGTGTCTATGTATGTATGTATCTACGTATGCATGTATGTATGTATGTATGTATGTATGTATGTATGTATGCAGTGTGCGGTGTCTATGTATGTACGTATCTACGTATGCATGTATGTATGTATGTATGTATGTATGTATGTATGTATGTATGTATGTATGCAGTAAACAATGTAGGTTTGCAAGCATGTGTGCTTTGCGTGTGTGTGTGTGTGTGTGCAGGAGGGCCTTAGGGAGAAGAGCAGCAGATGCAGCTGCGGATATCTTTTATGTGGGTGGCGGGGGATGGGTGGGTGGGTAGGTGGCGTGTGGGTGATGGGGCTATGCCAATTGCGGCTCGAAGAGGGTCTCGTATCGTATCATCTCGTCACGTTGCGAGCAACAGCGGGTTTAGCAGCTGGGTTATCAGGTACGTACGGCAGTCGGCATTACGCAGTTGAAGTTCGGCCCGCACGTTTCGGCCCGGAAATTGGTGTTTATGTGCCCAAGCTCGGCGCATTTTGTGGGAAGCAATCCATGCCGTACAAGACCATTTGTTTGCAGTACATTGCGGTACGGTAACAAGCACAGTACATGTTGTATGGCTTACGTTTCAGCACACGAGGTTTCCCTTGTATGATGGCGATGCATCCGATGATGGCGAAGCATTGGTGGCGAGCCGTATGTCGAGGCGCAATGCTGTTGTGGCAGTGTGCATTGGTGAGTGCGTGTGTCTAACTAGAACTTGTTGGCGTGTGAGAGGTCGACCAGTAGCGGCTAACGGACGCGCTTATGCGCGACAGCATTTTGTATGGGCTTCCTGCAGCTTTTGGGTACCTCTTTGCCACCTACCGGCAGCAGTAGGCAATAGGAACTCCCACCGGTTTACTACCGGAGCGTCTTGCTGTTTAGCTGACGAGATGGTGCAGTCCCTTGACATGTGCTGCCTGTGTCCGAGTGCTGCGAGGTGCGGTCATCGCGCCAATGCCGCCTTTCGTGTCTTTGCTGTTTCGGTCTAATGGTTCCGGATTGACAAATGCATTCGAAACGCATCCGAAACACGCCGTTTCACATGTCGTGAGACCAAACCGAGCATCAAACGGTCAGTGCCGTCGGAATGATGGTCGTGGTAAACTGCTACGGTTTTATCGCCGTATTGGAGCCCTTTGATGGCCAACGGCACCGGCAACCCAGCTTGGTCTGCAGCTGCGTGGAAGGGCAGGGCCGTTATGGCGGGAGTGAGGGGTTGTGGTGACAGTTACCTGTCCGTGTCCGTATTTGGATGGTCCAAAGTCTGAGGATTGCGCCGGCGGTTCAATATGGGGTTCTACGTTCGGTCCAGACATCGGCAAACGCTTCGGGAGTTTCGGGTCATACCGAAACTCCCGAAAACAGAAATAGAGCTCCCGAAGCCGGCCGGCTTGCAGAATTAGGATCATACGCCGTGTACGAAAGGTGTTATGCGGCCCGAAGACCGCCTAAGACGACCTTAGTCCGCGGTCAATGATGAAGAACAGGTCGGGGGCCATTGGACTGGAAGACAGAAGTAGACGTGTTCCCGAAACCAGAAATACCCCGTTTGCCGATGTCTGGTTCGGTCATGATATTTGAAAAGAGATGTAACCTAGCTGTGGACGGACTGAAATCCAGTCACTAATATAAATGGAAGAGGGAATCACGGAAATACGCACAATTACTCAATAGGAAACTAACAACTAAGGGAGGGCCAAATTCGTTACTGTTGTTGTTGTTGTTACGGCGGGCTACCAAGCTTCTGTACCGTAAGTTTCTTTTCCTTACAGAAAAGAAACAGAACCAAAGGGCACATCGCCTGTCGCTGTAATGGACACAGGCCTGGAAAGAAAGAAGAAGTGGCCTGTACGGTCGAACTCGTTGTTCGTTGTATTTCATGTCGCCAACCGTCGTCGCAGGACCCGAGACGGACTCCAGCACCGCACACCACAGCTAGGCCCTGGTCGCTGTATCCAAAGCTTACGAGCAACGCTTAATTTTTGCTACAGCAGCTTGGTGTGAGCTAGTCCAACAGGAAATGCAGCCTGGTTCGGCGAAATAATTGCATAATACTTGCACCTAGGAGACGATACCTATCTAAGCTCCACAATAGATAATATGGCTGATATAGGAACCGTTAATAGCTTCGTCTCAGAACTGTTGGCAAGCGGCCGTGCCAAGGCAAATAATGCGGTGAAGCTCCTGGCATGTATGGCGACATGCAAACAGGAAGTAAGTAAGCATCTCTCGGTCATCAGGTTATGATGCAAGCTGTAGGGAGTTTAGCCGCCGTGTGCGTGCGCCGCATTTCGTGCGCCATCAGCGCAACCTTGGGTTTAACCACTCGTTCCGGTTGGTGTAAAGAAAGCTCAGTAGGGTATTGTCCTCTATCATAGAACATCCGGCTCCACCTGGTCCGTCCATGTCACCTATGCACTTGCTTCGGACGCCGGCCTGGAAGGATCCTTTCACACCGCCCACCTGCTCCGCTTCCCCCACCCATCCAGGCTGCACTCAAAGCCGCCATCCAGGGCCTGAAGCAGTTCTTCGTAGCTGCCGGGCAGGACGGTCTGCTTCTGGTGGCGGGCACCAGCGGGTCGGCGTCCAGACCCTCCAAACGACAGAAGGTGGAAGGGCGGGCTCTGCCGCGCTGCCGCTGCTTTCCCCCTCCACTTACACCCGTTTAAACTACCGAATAACCCTTATGCTCATTTTGTTAAATGCGTTCGGGTTTTGATTACATATTGGGTTTTCCCGCTCTTGCCATGTTCAATGCCCTGTTTTAAACCCGTCGTGTGACTGAACCCACCATCACTATCAATCAGTGAGTCAGGCATTCCAGGCGCCACTATCAGCAAATGTCACTCTTGAACTCTAAACTCCGAGAAGTGGAACATTATGAAAGGTGGAATGAAGGGCCCAATGGACACACAGTCCTCCATGGCCTCCCGCCTTTGACGGACACCCCCGCACTCGTGCGGCACTTGTAACTTGTAACTTGGAACCATCGCCAGAAAAATATCATTCATCATCACCGCGCCACCGCCAGTCCTCCTGACAACACGCTAAGGGAACCTCCTTCCACAGTAGCAGCAGTGCGGCAGCAGCAGCGGCAGCAGCAGCGGCAGCAGTGCGGCAGCAGCAAGGGCAGCAGCTGCTACAACCTGCGCATTGGGGAGAGAAAAAAGGAGAGGCGCGGGATCAACGCTAGTCCATAAATCTATCCCCATGGACACTTGCTGCTCAACCACCGCCACCGCCACCACCATCACCACCAACTGTGCAACAGTTGGAATCCGTGCCCTCTTGCTGCAGGTCGCCTCCACTGCCTCCACCGCCGCCGCCGACGATGATGCCGCCGCCACCGCCGCCGCGACCACCACCTCCGCACGGGGCACCCCAGCTGACGCCGAGGCGCAGTACCGCGAATGGCTGAGGCGCCAGTACGGCAACTTTGTCAGCCAGTTGCTAGCACTGGTCGCTGGCGCAGTAGCGCATAACGGCGGCGGTACGACGGCGCCGCCGCCAGCACCCCGCAGCGCGGGGGTGCAGGTGGTGGCGGCGGCGGCGCTGCTGGAGTGTGTGCGCAGCGAGCTAGGCCCGGGTACCTTCTCCGGGACGCTGTACGGCAGGCTGATTTCCAGTGTACTGCTGAGCCCCGGAGTACGGCCTGAGGTGTTTGCGCTGTTGTTCAACAAGTACCTGCATCTAGCAGGTGGGTATACGGGGGGATAAAACCCCCTATATATACACGCAGAAAACCCACAAAAAACACAAGCACACACAAGCACACACATAGATACGCACATAGATACACACATAGATACACACATAGATACACACATAGATACACACATAGATACACACACGTTGCGCGCTCTGAGTATTTGTGATTTGTGACTAGGGATGGCGGCGGGAAAGGAGGTGGTACCGTCCCGGGGAATGAAGAGGCTGTTTGCATGAGTGCCGACAAGATGACGGCGTGCGGGCAACCCCTGAGCCGCGGGAATAGGTCCCTTGAAACGGAGGTACCTGCAGCCGGGCCGCCTGCTATCGCTGCTGCCATCGCACCAGCAGCAGCAGCAGCAGCAGAAGCTGCCTCGGTCAGGGTGGCAGCGGGTGTTGGCGTTATGTCGTTAGGCGTTATGTCGTTGGCGTTATGTCGTTTGGCGGCGCGGCACCCGAGGCACAGCCAAGTGTGGCCTCCAGAAGCTGCTGCATGCACCTCACCTTCCTTGCCGCCCCTCCCGCCCTCTTTCGCTGCTCTTTGACATAGACGTGCGCTTCTACACGTTGTCTACGATCAAGGCGATAGCCGCCAAGTACGGCCGTAAGGCGCTCTCGGCACCCCCTGTGGCAGTGGGTGGAGCGGAACAGACGGGAGCGGAGAAGGTGGAGGGAGAGGAGGAGGAGGAGGAGGAAGAAGAAGCGGCGGATGGTGCGTTGGGTTTTGTGACAACACGGCGTGTATGTATGTATGCATGTATGTACTTATGCTTACATGTAAGGTCTAGGGGCGGCCAAGCCAAGAGCGCGTCCTGACTTTTGAAATAAGAACGGGTGAGAAGATTGACTAGATGAACTGTACGACAGGTGCAGCGCGCGCGGCGGCGTCAGCGGCGGCGGATGCAGCGGCGACGGCGGCGGGTGAGGGTGCCGGCACCGGTGCCGCCGGCAGCGATGGCGGAGGCGGCGTCGTCGTGAGCCTACCGGACCTGGCACGCAATGCGTACGACGTGTTATGTCACCTAACAGAGACGTTGCCGGACGACACCCGCGAGTGGAGCACTTGGTGCGGCGCCGCCGAGGTACGGCAGGGTACGGCATGGCTTGGTACGGGCAGCGCTGCCCGCTGGCTTACGTGTCACCCGTCGACTGCTATGGTGTCCATCGTATTCCAGTTCACATGGGTTGGTGAGGTGTTTTAGCAAACACCGCACCGCACCAGCAATGGGTTGTGTTCTCCGTCTCTTGTCTCGTCCCCCTGGCTCCGCCGCCGCAGTCGCCGCTTTTTCATGTCTTTCCTTCTTCCCCTCCCCCCTTCCGCACACCCTTCCCCGCACACACCCTTCCCCCTGGCGTGGTTCAGTTTAATTTGGCGGTAGCGGCCGCGGACAAGAACGAGTCAGGCAGGCATCGACGGAAGAGGAAGGAGCAGGAGGAGCGCGAAAAGCAGCAACAACAGCAACAACAACAACAGCAACAACAGCAGCAGCTGCGTGTGCCGTGGGCAAATTCACTGACCCAGCGCCGACTGTACGGGTGAGTGCTGGGTGAGTGTTCTGTACAGGGGTGGGGGTTAAGAAGACAAACCACGAACGAATGAAGTTGCTGCCAAGGAAAGAGCAGAACTGACCAGTGGGGATTGGGGGGGATTGGGGGGGGTCTGTAGGGTTTCAGGGGTCTACGTCGTCCTCCTGCTGAGAGGGGGCGGACAGGATGCACCCCCCCTTCTGTCCCACCACCACCTGCTAGCTGCCCGCCCCAACTTGTCATCCCTCCACCATCTCCGGCACGTGAGCACATGGTCGTGGAGGCACATGTGAGCTGTCGTGAGCTTCTGCACCTCCAGCACCACCGTGTCGGGTCGGGTTGGGGTTGCGGCACGGCGATTTGGGTTGGGGTTGCGGACAACATGTGCGCCATCTCGCGTCATGCTCCAGCACCACCATGTCGTGGCGGCAGCGGTTTCCCCCTCCCTCCCCCTGTCCCCTGTCCCCTGCCCAGCAGCCGCACATATGTCTTTGAGGCGTGAGACGACTTGTTCCCTTTCCTGTACACGCTTTTCCTCCCACCTCCCACCTCCCACCTCCCACCTCAAACCACTGCCCTCAACCTCACGATGGCTACTTCCGAAGTCAATACTGGTTGTGAATTTCTTAGGGCTTCCCGATGCGGTACGTATCTGTCTATACTCCTTGAGTATCCATCTATCTCTGATATCAGCTTTTCACAGCTTGACGTTTCCATGGGGTTCCCTTCCTCTTCCCAAACCCCCTTATCTTAGTCCTGCTTCTCTTCTTTCCTCGGCAGCAGCTTCACTCGTTCGTGGTTGGTGTTCCCAACCCCCCCTTATCTCACGTTCATGGTTTACACCCTCTCCCTCCCAGAGACGCCTGGCTCGCGTTGCTGGCTCTTCCCCTGCCGAGCGACGTCCTGCGTAAGGCTCTGGTTCGGTTGCCCGCCTCCGTCATCCCGCACATGACCGCTCCCCAGCTGCTGGCGGACTTCCTGACGCACTGCCTCAACCGGGGGGGCCTGACGGGCATGCTGGCGCTTAACGGACTGTTTCTGCTGGTGGGTGAGCGGGTGGGTGAGCGGGTGGACTTGGCGGGGCTGTGTGGCAGGTGAGCTGGATTCCAGGGGATGCAAGGGGTATGCGTTGTGTATGTGTGTGTGTGTGTTTTACGTAGCTGCGTTGGACTTTCGCCATTGTTGGTGATTGGACATTTCGGCAGTTGTTTTTCCTGCTTTTTGGCATCGTCATCATTATCATCGCCGTCGTCCTGGAAGTGATTGCTACCCCTCTTCTGTTGCTGCTGCTGCTATTGCTACTGCTGCTACTGCTACTGTTTCCTCGCGTGCAGGTTACCCGACACGGGTTGGAGTATCCGCAGTTCTACTCGCGCCTCTACCAACTGTTGGTGCCCGAGGTGTGGTTGTGTGTGTATGTATGTATGTGTGATGGGGGGGGGAGATGCAGGTGTAGTTTGGGCAGGGTTGGGGTGGTTGGGGTGGAGTGGGGCACCAGAGTATCTGACGTGTTACACCTATATGACAGATATGACATGGCAGGTGGAATATCGTCGGAGGTAGGTCTGGATTATGTATTTTTAGTATCACTAGATTTTCCTTGAGCGCGGTGGCGGTGGCGGTGGCGGCCACGGGAAGTGAACCTTCCAGGCTTGGCACCTGTACTACTGCATACCATATGTGCGATCTCTTCCTTGGAGTTAAGGTGCACACACAGGTGGTCTCACTAACTGAGCTGTAGGGTTTCAAAAAGGACGCCAATGCGGTGTCGGGGACGTGGTGAAGCGCACACCGGGATGTCGTCACCTTGTCGGCACTCCCGGCGGTTTCTGCACGCAGTGCGCTGCCACTGGGCCTTGGACTGGCCTTCGAACGGGACGGACACATACGCGAAGCGTTCTTTGTGCGTTTCATGTCTTCGATTTAGCTGAATTTTGCACCGTAATATCAGATGCGCGTTTCGGCGCCCTGTATGAGTAGAAGAAATTTGCGGAGGCGGCGCCGGTGGTGTCCAGATCATCATGAGGCCAGAACGTAAAACCGATTCACCAAAAGGAAGCAAAATTAAACGACTGACAGATCATGGCGAAGTCTTCGGGGTCGCGTCTGTCTCTTAAGGACTTTTAAGGTTACCTCCGGGGCGCCGCATCTTTGTTAATTCATCTGCATGTCCCTTTTTGCGTTTCTTTGCTATCTCATGGATTTATTGACTTTACTTTCTATACATAACGGTTATTACTTGGCTGGGTGCCGTTTGTGTACAGCTTTTTTTTAGAGCGGGCCAACTTAAGAAACTCGAGATTTTCTGGTCAGATGAAACTGCTATCCGCCCGCCAACGTGTTAACCCGCCCGACAGCCCGCCAGGAGTTTATTGTATATTGGCAAAAATCGATGTCGGTGTGGCCACCTGCTTACCGCGCTAGACTACCCCGCTGACCGCCCGCCTTCCATGCCCCACTCTCAACCAGTTGGTGCTTTGGACGACGTCGTCTTTGACAATTGCGAAATTCCTTCACATCTTTTTCACAGAGCGCTCCGCTCTGCAACCCACAACCGGCACATCCCGCCCGCACCGCGCACATCCACACTTTCTTTCTCCTCGCTCTCCTGCAGGCTTTTGCTGCCCGCACCCGCGCCCAGTTCTTCCGCCTCGCCGATATCTTCCTGTCGTCGTCCCTGGTTCCAGCATACACGGTGGCCGCCTTTGTCAAGCGCTTTGCCCGCCTGGCCCTGAGCGCCCCGCCCGCCGGAGCCATGATTGCCATCGCCTTCATCCACAACCTGCTGCGCCGCCATCCCGCGCTGAACGTCATGCTGCACAAACCCAACCCTAACCCCAGCACCGGCGATGGCGATGGCGGAGCTGGCTCAGCGATTGACGGTGATCCCGCCGTTGCTGAGCGAGCGGAGGCGGAGGCTGTGGCGTCGAAGTCCCAACTGGGTGTAGATCCGTTTGATGAGGCGGAGGTGGACCCCGCCAAAAGCCGGGCTGTGGAGAGCTCGCTTTGGGAGGTGGAGGCGCTCCGAAACCACTACTGTCCGCAGGTGAATGGGCGGGACTTTCTGGCCGGTTCAAATGGTGCATTTGTTGTTCATGGCTAGATTGTGATGGTGATGGGGGTGGTACGGAATGATGTAGCGTCGGGAGGCTGTTGTTTGGGATGGCATGGCTAGATTGAATCCTAGGTTAGTTTTGGGCTGGGACTTGCGCAGGGTGCCGGTGGTCCGTCTTAGCATGTTGAGGAGTGCATTGATCTAGTTTTTGAGGGTGAGGAAATGACGGGAACATGCAAACCGGCGGGGTCAGAAACCGAGTTGCGGTTTGGGAAGCGGCTAGTACATAGCGGGTTGGGTTACGCGCAGTTTCTTATGGTATTTACGTAAGCCCGGCCTTTTTCCTTACGGAAACACAATCGGATTTTTATGAATCTTTGCAGGTCTCGACCTTTTGCACAGTGCTTGACAAGGACCTGACAGACCGCAAGAAAACGGCCGAGGTTGACCTGGAGGGGTTGCTGGGCCTTGCCAAAGGCGAAGGGCAACAGCCAGGCGGAGCTGGCAGCTATAATGCACTTATCCATGGCGAGTTGGCCCGGAAATTGCGGAGGGCGCCAGTGGCCTTTTACCCGCAGCCGCCGACGTCGCTATTTCCTGCAAATTCGGGGACAGATGATTGGCCTGGCTGGGCTTTTAACCCATAACTGACATATTTCATCAAAGCTGCAAAGTAATTTTGCCATGCACTTAGGGGGACAAAGTGCTTAGGGGGGCAGTAAAGGCCTTCTGTCGCGAAAGTTGACCGAACTTGCAGCTGGGCTAATTCAATGCAGTTTTCTATGCATAATTTGTGCACGTTATGCTGGGTCATGATGAATTTAAAACACCCATGAATTGCCTTGTAACGTACGGCGGGACGTTCTCTTTGTCTGCACTCTGTTGACAGCAATTGCACCATATGCATAATCGTTATAGTCATCAGAGGCTCGTTAAGGCTTGGGCGGGGTAGGGACACCTGTGCCTCACCGCGCCTAGTCTTGATTTAGTCGTTGGGGGACCCGCCAACCCCGCTACCTTTTCGTTTGGCGGCCGCAAGAGCACAACCATCCAATCAATTTTCGCAATCGTGTGATTTGCGGGCGGGAAGTCCCATGGAGGAACTTACCCGGGCCCTTCCGGGGCTCACCTTGTCGGAGCACTCAGCCTCGCCTTCTGTACATGCTATCGCTATTCTGGACAATGGACTGCATGGCAGTGATGTGTAAGTTGACCCTTGGTGGCACAAGGCAAACAGAACTCTAGACGTCGAAGCCCTGACCTAGGTTGGTCCCGCAGAACAAAGCCGCCAACTCCTCCGGCCGCTGAAGGTGCATCCTCGCAACCACAGCATCAGAATCAGCAACACATGCACGCTTTGGCGCCTGTGCCGGGGTACGAGGCAGTAGACGCTGCCATCAGGCAAGCTCTCGCCGACCCGACACAGCGTGTGACAGGTGCGTCAGTCATCGCTAAAGCCTTAACTGTGTGCCTTAAAGTTATCCAGAGCATTATTTTGGTACCTCTGCAGTATTAAAATGCGAGGACCTTGTGGAGAAGTTCCTCGCGGACCCCGTGCAAGAAGCCCTGCAATTCCCCGCCTCCTTTACCAGTTATCAGGTGGGAAGCAGGAAATTGACTGTGCACCCGCTTTACTCATAAATGACAGTCCTGCTTTGATTGCGGTGTTGTTTGTGCAGCGGATGTTGGCGCACCGGGTTGGTCAGTACTATGGCCTTCAGACCAGCACCGTCGACTTTGAAGAATCGCAGGGAAGGGTGCTTGCAATCCGCACCGAGCATTGTCGAGCACCAAAGGTGAGTTTTTGAAGTTGGTTGCAAACGGTGGTCGCGTCAATCCCACGGCCTAACGGTCCTGTTCTTTCTTCCGCGCCACCCACGATTGCGTCTGCGCAGCCACGTCTTCGTGATCTGGATGTTCGCTCCGACCCCGTCGCACAGCGCACCAACATGGCGAGCGGTCTAGTCGGACAGGTTGCGGACAAGCCCCGGTTGTTGCGGCGCCCAGAAGACGAGCGCTCGCAGCAGAACAGCTCGGAACATTCCCTAAATCAGTCGCCTGCGAGGACCTTTAAGGAAAGGCAAGAGAATTACCTGAAGGCGCGCGAGGAGCTGGGCCTTGGGAACGGGCCTCAGGATGGCTACGGTGCAGGCCGCGGTGGACGCGGTGCGCCCGGCGGGCGCTTTGGTCCGGGTAGCCGTATCGACAGCGGGCGCGGCCGAAAGGCCGTCTTTAGGGACAAGGACAAGGACCTGTCAGACCCGGACTACCGCCGTGGGATGAATCGGTGGGTGTGGTAAAGGGGCCAAGGTAGCCAGCGGATTCGTGCTAGGCCCGGCCGCCCAAGATGCTGGGCGATGCAGGAATGCGTGTGGTCAAATGCTTAGCAGGAAACTGCACGCGCTCCGTGGCAATATCACTTGCCTTCTGTTGTGCAGGTTTAATGGGGCGGCACGGTTCGACCCAGCGTATGCAGCGATGCCGGCCGGAGGCATCTATCAGGTGCCCACATACGCCTCCGAGGTGCGCGGCAACTGGGGGCCATATGGGCATCCTCAGGAGGCACGGCCTTTGCATGATGACCTATGTGTAGTCCTGCGTTGTGGGTAGCACGCATGGTTGTTTGACTTGACGCGCTTCATTGACATGTCATCCGTATGACAGACCGGTACAGGCCCGCAGGGCCTAGGCAATCTGTTGAGTGACCCTGAACCGATCCGTGCCTCCCTGTTCCCCACTGCCGACATACAGTTTCCGGTCCTTAATCGGATGGCGAGCGGTGGGCCCACTCCCACAGCGCGCCCGCACATGCAGCAGCCCAGCCAGCAGCAGCAGCCCCACCCACTGACGCCGGGCGCACAGCCGCACCCCATGGCGGTGCACTCTCCGCACCAGGGGCAGGCCGGCCCGGGAGCGTGGGGCCAGCAGCCACAGCAACAAGGTCCCGGCGTCCGGCCGCCTCCGCCTCCGCCGCCACCTCACCACCATACAGCTGGCCCTGCAGGTGCAGCAGGGGCCGGCGGTGGAGGCACCGGGACCGGAGGTTCAAACGGGAAGACGCACCACCCGGCGAGCGGGGGGGGAGGCCCTGGCAGCGGCACGCTGGGCGGTCGCCAGCAGCCACAGCAACAGCAGCAAGCATTCGGGCCGGCCATGGGAGCAGCGGCGCCTTATCCCGGAGTGGGAACTCAGTACCCAGTGCCTGTCGCAGTGGGCACGGCCGGCTTCATGTCCGCGGCCCCGGGTCAGCATGTGTTTGGGATGGCAGCTCACGGGAATGCAATTCCAGGGGCGATGTACACAGCACCAGCGCCAGGCGTCAGCGGGGCCTTCTACCCCGGTGTTGGCGTCGGCATGGGCATGGGCGCGATGGGCATGGCGGTGCCCACCGCCCCCGCGTACGGCTACATCACGCCGGCGCCTGGTGTGGGCATGGGTGTTGGAGCCCAGGGGGAGGCGATTGCCCTGCCGCCTGGCAGCTACCCCGTGTATGCCAGTTATGCCGCAGGGACGACCATGTACCCGGCAGCAGCAGCGCAGATGGCCCAGCCGGCGGCTATGCACCCGGGCGCTGGGGCCGCAATCCCTGTACGGCCCATGTATGGTGTCCCTACCTTCTACCACAGCTATGATCCCTCGCAGTACGCCGCCGCGGGGCCGGGCATGCAGTCCCACGGTGAGGGCCGAATGTACGGCGCCTACAGCAACTACCATCAGCACCACCATCACCACCACGGTGGGGCGCACGCCCACGGGATGGGTGGCCATGGTCACGCGGGTGGCCGAGGACGCGACTCAGAGAACGGGAATATGCGTGGAGAATCGCACGGCGCTGGCGGTGCAGGGGGTCCCAATGCGGCCGGTGGTGGGGCTGCAGGTGCTGGCGCCTCCGGCGGGGATACAAAGTAGGGGGAAGGCCCACGTGCGGGGCGGCTTCAAGGCTGCCGATGCCAAAGCAGGTGCAGTGGGCCTGGTTGCCTCTGGCACTCGGGGGGTGAACGTCGGTGTCTTGGGGTTTGCTTGATTGCATCAATGGAGAAGATTGTATCTGGCGGTGGGCAACAAACAGCTGATTTCAGGGGCCAATTTGAGCGCAACCTGCCTCGATCCTTCCCAAGCGGCATTGGGCTCCATTTTTCCTCGCTTTGGGGCGTGACGTGAGCTCAGGATGCTTGGTGGGAAACGCCGTCGAGCGGCCCTTCACTTTTGGAGCCTTGACGTTCCGGGCGCTTCGTCGGGCCTTGGGTATTCGACCTACGATTGAGCTTACCCAGCAATGAGGACAACGTGGCGCACATGCTTTGTTAAAATCATTTATTAGCGGCCCTATGCCCCTAACAGTGCTGGAACAGCGCAGCTGATCAATATACGCTCGGGGTAGATACTCCGTGATGCAAGCCACAGCTGCAGGAGATCATCCGCTGGATGTGCCGCCACCGCTTTTTTAGCCATGATGGGCCTGCAGTAGACATGGCATCGGCCATTGGTACGCCATGGCGGCGTGTGAAGAGCTGTCTGGTCGTGCGTCTCCCAGCGTCTGTCTCTCTCTCTCTAGGAGGAGGAGGTGATAGTGATGGTGGTGGTGATGGTGGTGGTGGTGGTGGTTGCCGTCACGATCAGGAAACGGAACTGCGGCGGACGACACGCTCGACTCCACCACTCCACAGCCAAACTTGACACCACCAGAAATTTTATAGTCGCAACAGCGCATCACGGCAGAGGCAGGAAGCAGCTGGGCTTGACCGTCTGGCACTGCGCAACGTGCCAGCAGCTTGTGGATGCAAAGCCTCGTCGTCAGCGAGTTCGTCTGGCCCCGTGGGAGCTGTTTGGCCAGCCGTGACATGGGGGGAGAACTCTTTCTCCTCTTTCTCCCTCTCCCTCCTCTCTATTGACTGCGTCCACAGCGCATTCCAAAGGGGGATACCTTACCGCCGCCTTACGGCACATGGCCGTTGTCGGTCCACCCAGCTCGCCGCCGTGCTTTGTGTTTTATTTGGCCTCATGGCCGTCAAGGCGGCGTGTAGGACAACTCCGATCATCATGATCTGCGTCGGGACCGGCGCTTGGCGGCCGTGGCGGCCAGAAGGGACGAGCCTCGCCTGCCTCAGTATGCCCGCCTACCTACCTACCTACGTACCGTATGATGCACTGACAGACTGTGCTTGGACCAGTTGCAGGCGGGGCCCTTAGGGAGTCAGGCAGTCCACAAATCTCGTTTTTTCGATTCGCTCAGGCGCTGCAGGCGCTAGTAAGCTATAATGGCGCTGGAGGCGCAGGGGTCAGACTGTTCAGCTGTACGGCATGACACAAGATGATGAGTTTCTTGCTGCCGATTTGGTGGCGTGTCAAGTGGGGGAGCGTGGTAACAACAGAGGATGATTGTGTGTGGGGGGGGGCGAAGAGGTCGATGGTGGGCTTATCGTAAGAGATGTTGGTGGTGGTGTACTGTGGGGAATAGCGTCAAAGAAGCTTCTAGAGTGATAGTGGGGTGCCGGGTCGCTGGCGTGGTGCACCGAATGTACCCGCGCTACACGACGCGGCTGCAGTGTTCATTCCGCCGGCCCCTCTTTCCCCCGCGCCGGGGAAGAGAAGATGATGTCAGAGGGCACATGGGCCATGCTGGCACAGCCGCTGCGCTTGCAGCAGATGATGACTTTACGTTCTCCCCAGCGGCGTGTCCCCAGCGGCGTGTCAGTTCGTCAATTGTTTATAGTTGTTTTATCACGGGGGTTCGTGGAACCTGTGGCTGGACCTGGTCCGGGAAGCCACTCGAGGAGGCACTCATCCCCCAACCCCTCGTCCGCTCGCGTCCTCCTCGCCTGCGATGGCTGGCTGCCAAAAAGAGCCACGTGGTTGTTCCGGGGGGGGTTTCCGCAGGCCGCGTCCTGGGGAAAACTACTCGGTGTGCATCACGACCGTTTTGGAGATTATGGAGTTACGCGTTTAAAGAAGTTGGACACGGGGTACTTTTGTTCCTTTAATGGCGCTTTTTGCGGGATGGTGGTCGGTCGTGATGGCGGTAAGGACGGCGGTTGTCGTGGAGGACGGTGGAGGAGGACAGAGGCCAAAAGGAGATTCAAAAGTAGATCCTCCTCCACAATGGTGAAGGCGGCGTGTTCGTGGGGGACGGATGGGTCCCCCCTTTCTGTGTCCCTCGTCCCCAGGGGAGAGGGACGACTGGATGGAAGGTCCTGAAACCAGTGTGTGTGTGTGTGTCTCGGCACGAAGTGGTAACGTCAAGGGAAATCCCTAGGTGATCCCTACTGCGGCTGCCGACGACCCGAAGGGAAGAAAGTGGTGACGGCGATAAGGGCGTAACACGGCGGCCCAAAGGCAATATAGGAATACAAGGAGAGAACCAGTAGTAGGAAGGAGCGTGTGGGGGTAAGGGGCCCGGCTGTTGTTAGAAAGGGAAAGGTGCCTCCGGTATGAGTGGGGAGGCGCTGCACGAGAGTTTGTTTTTCGATTCTCGTCTACTCGCAGAGTCGTGGATTCATGAACGCAAGTTTGGGGTTTCAAAGGGTTAGCGGCGCAGACGTACATGCGGCGCCTTGCTTGGCATTACGTTGTGCAGGGTTACCCGGAGCCAGAGCAAGCATGGCGGCTCCATGGCTGGCAAGTATACGTGCTCGCACACTTGACATATCGACATGAATTGATGCTGGCCCAGCTTAAACTTGGCGCACTCTGTGTCCAGCAACTTCAGGCTGATTGGCTCGTGCCATGTCTCATCCATTCTGAGCAGGGCGACCTCGGTGCGGTCGGTGCTGGGCGCGGCTGCAGCACTGGGCGGCTGGCGGGCAAAGAGGGCGAGGGCCCCTGGGCAGGGGGCCGTCCGTCCGGTCATGGAGGGGCCTGCGCGCGCGTTTGGTCCTTGCCTTAGTGCAGGCCCCCGTTGGCAGCCCCCGGGTTTGAAGAAGCATAGTTCCGGAGGGGGAACGCAATTCTGAAGGACGGATGGAGCGCGGGGCTGGCGGAGCGGCATTCATCTGCAGAGCACCACCTGCAGGGGCATCGGAGGTGCGAGCCCTGAATGTGAGCAACCTAGGGCTACATGCCACCTCTTGACTGACTGTTCTGTCGTAATCTGTCAGTCATTTGCACGAGAGGAAAGATTTTTGGAGGTACAAATACCACACAACGCAGTACATGTGGATTGGTGAGGAAGGGGGCTGGAGCGTCCCTCGATCGGAGCGGGGGAAGGATGCCGCGAATTAACGCACAGCATACAGAGCGGCGCAGTGTGTGTGAGCTGAGCTAACTCGGAGCAACAAAACAACAAACGAAGAAGGCAGACTGCAGCTGGTAACGGCAAGGGTCACGTACGCACACACACACACACACGTACTCCTACCGCGGTTCACTGAGCAACCCACGGCGGCTCGCGCTGCCAGGCAGAAGCCAGAAGGGTTAGTAGTAAGTGCGCGTTTTTTATGCGCTGCATGGCGCCTGCGGCGCTCTCTCCTCGCGCCCTGATGGGTCAAGGCGCCGTGGCATGTCGCAATGCCAAGGCCTGCAACGGCCCGCGCTGTGGCCAGCTAAGCTGCATGGCAAGGGAACGCATAGCTGTCGGGGCCAAGATGCCAGCCCAGGCGGACTTGGCTCGCATGGATTTCGTAGCTTGCCTGGTTACCGGGGCAGACAGCTGCGTCGTGCGCAATTATCCCGCCGGTATACAACGAGGAGCATATGAGCGTGTTTGTCTGCACGAGTGTTTGTCTGGTGGGCCGGTGCCTTTCGGTACGGGGTACTGTTCGCCGGGGTTGTATGTGCGGCTCCTCCCTTTCTGTCGTTGCACTTTCCCGGCCCAGTCCGCCCTGATATGCGCCTGCAGCGCTGTGCCGGGTGCGGGTGCAATAACACGCGGATGAATGACATTGATTCCCAGGACAATAGGAGGTTCCGTGGTCTCGTCAGGAGCCGCTTGGGCGGCTAAGACATTATATATGCTTGGAAGAGGAGCAGGGTGGGGAAGGAAGAGGGCGTTGTGGGAAGGAGGGAGGAGGAGGAGGAAGAGGACACGTGGCGGCGGTACCATGCGGCTGGCGGAGCCGGATTGGCCCTGCCGGCCGGAGGAGGCGGCCGTCCGTGGATAGCCCCCCCCTACACCGGGGGGGTGCATGTGGCGTTCCTCTGTTTCGGATAGGGGAACGTACGTGACGCCTCTTAAATGATGTGGTGTGGGGAAAGAGACGACGATGTCGGGGGCTGGGGAGGGAGCAGAAGGATGCGTCCCTCACAGACCTCCAAACGTTCATGTACCCCACGTCGTGTCCGGGTCTGTGTGTGCGTGTGCATGATTGTTTCGTGTGTGTGTGTGTGTCATTTTTGTATGTGTTGCGCTGGTGGCTCGTGTGTGCCGGTACATGATGCCAGGTTGGCTGTAATGTGTGCTTAAATTTGGATGTGTCACGCGTCTTGTTGATGTTTGCTGAGGCGGAGTTTTGGACATGTCTTCGGACGTGAACCCAGTGTATGTATGTATGCCCGTAATGTTTTCTGTCGTCGTGTTCGTTTGCTGTGCTGTATGCGTCTGTGTGTGTATGTGTGTCTGCTGTGGCTCTCACCTGCTCCCGCAATGTCGGGGTAACGCCTTCCGAGGGGGAATTCTTCCCTTTGCTAACATGCATCAAGAATCTGTCGCCAGCCTGTCCGCCGCGTTCGAGTCAGGCGAATATCTGTATTAATGCCATCTAGGCTAGGATATAGACCGGTTGGTCAGGCTGCCATTTTTGGAAGTTTTTTTGTTTTCCTGGTTTGTCTGTTTTGTGTCGTGGAGCTGTTGACAGTGGTCGCAGTCGCGGGGTGCACGTGCATTAAGCGAAGGTACGGAAACGGCAGCAAGCACGCTGTTGCCGTCAATTGATGTTTCGTTCGTCAGTGGCGGGCGGGATCGTCAGGCTCCGGTTTGGTTTCCCTTTTGCAGGGTTACCCCCCGCAGGAGCGAGACACAGGAGCGGGACCTCGTGCGGGACAAGTATGGGGAGGTGATATGATGCGATGATTTGTGGCTCGGGGGTCTTGGACAACCCTTTTTTGTAACAAGAGCTGCAAACACGCGCGCTCCCACTGCTCCACTCTCTCCTTTCTCCCTCTCCAGTAAATAATTCAGACACGGAGGTGTGCGAGAGGTAGGTACGAGATTCCTTCATGGGAATCTTCCTTCAATAAACTCGCGGAGAGCACACCTCTGCGGTGCGGCGCAGTTTGAAGTTGATTGTGCCATGTAACCGCCTGTCCACGGACCCATACCCCATGGTGAGACGCGATGGGTGAGGTGTGCGTGTGCAGGCGGGTGGTGGCGCGAGCTGCCCCCAGGCAGCACCGCACCGCAGATAGCGGAGGGCCTTCCGTGGGACACCGATTCCAGGACAGGCTGCACACCTGACTGACCTACGGGAGCGTGTGGGCCTTACGGTAAGGCCCACGTGCAACCACGGGGAAATAGTTCCGACGCGGCGGGGTCAATCACCTTTACCTCCGCCAAAGCAATCAAGACAACTCCCGTCACCGCGCTTCATGACAGCATCATGACCAGGTTGCCTCTACACACATTATATATACATGGCCCCGGCGGAAGCATATAGCTTTCCGGCGGATAGATAGGCAGCAGCGCCGCCAACACAGAATGCCCCTTCGATTCCCAGCGGCCTGTGTGCGACAATGCCTGTGTGCCTGCGACAGTGCAGGGACTCCCTGCCCTCCCTACCCTCCTCCCTTTGTCCCGCTGTTACCTCCCCCCAAGCAGGTTCGCAATAGACTCGCGCGACCTATTGCCACCGTCTGGCCGCGCTGAGGCTGCCACAGGGCCGCGTCGCCACTTGATCTTTTCGTCAATCCTCGGCAGTGGACCAGCAAGCAGTTCAGAAGGTTCAAAAGACATTGGAATTTTTCCCCCCAGATGGGGCCCTCCCGTGTCTTACACGCCTTGCTCATTTCCCACACGGGGCTTATTTCTAGTTTCTGAGTCTACAGCTTTGCCCAGGCACATGGCATTTCAGGGAGATGCAACCCAGATGCCGCGTTTTACGTGCTCAACAGCAGAGCCTTTGTCCGCCACTGCCGCTGTCCACCTGCGCTGCAGCTGCTGCAGCCGCTATAGCTCACAGCTGGCGGTCGGGGCCCGGCGCCACTGTCAAGGGGACGCGCTCGCTCGCCCGGTGTACCGATGACCCACATGTGTTGAAGGCGAGCGCGTGTTTCTTGGTGGGCGGTCAGCTTCATATGGGTTTGGGCAGCGCCGAAACCAGTGGGATAAGGACGTCGGAACGGTCCAGCACCACCCGCAGCTCCCGCCAACTCTCCAACCTCGGGGTCGGGCCCCGATAGGGCCGGATCGAGGCCCAGCCCATCGGCTCAGCCTAGTAGCCTTTGTTGCCCTGTATACGGGTGCGTGCGTCCACTTGGCCCCGGCGGCATTGGAACAGTGCGTAACGGTACTGCTCGCACTCGGACGCCTTTTCTGCCATGCACTCCTTGAGGCCTAGCTTCCGGGTCTGCGGGGTGGTGAAAAATGTCGCGCTGGAAGCTGGGTGTTGTAAAGGGTTGCAAAACCCCCATATGACGGAGTGGGAAACTTCTGTTTGCTAGCCGCAGCGAAGAAGCCGCATAGGCTCATGCCCTTCTGCTGAACCTACCGTCATGCACTCAGTATGGCGTAAGCAATCAGCGTACTTGGCCAAAAGGCCTTTACAAGATGTCGACATTTACCGACAGTTGCCAAACCTGCCGTCTGTCCCAAAGCACACAAAAATCTGGCTAGTAATCACTAAACTATGCAGGAGACAGATGTACGAATCTATGGACCTTGTTGGGATGCATGCAATTTAGGCAAAGCGCTCTGCAAGCAACAACCAGTTCCACACGAAAAGTTTAATGACTCAAGCTAACAGAAACGGACTTATACTTGGCCTTGCTTTCTCTGTATTTGAGTACGAGGCCTAACCGCAACCTGTTACCTGCAATTTCAGTTTGCGATTCCGATTGATGATAATCGCCATTGGCGCTGTAAAAGTACTGGGCAAGATATTTAGTATTTTAGAAATTTATAGAGGTTCAAGATAGATCGCAATTGCTTGTTGGCTTGCAGCCCACTCACAGACGTGCCCGACGTGCCCTGCCACATAGCGACGCGCTACTTGTTTTCCGCGGCGTTCGTTTGCCATGGCTCTGCATCCGCGTACTTGCAGCTTCCAGCAGCGATGGAAGCCATTCTCTGGCTGTCGACCCCCGCGATTGGTCGCGAGGCCAATTCCTCCTCAGGCCGCACAGACGCAGCAGGCGACAACCGAGGGCCGGGCGGCAGAACCACCAGTCGACCACCACATTATTGGCCAATGTGCGATGCCACACAAACTAGGCGAAAATTCACCTAAGCTACACATCTCATTTGCTTGCGGTCCGCCAGCCAGCCATGGGCAACAACAAAATGCCTTGGCTTGCTTCTACCTTTCCCTTAACAAACCCCTTCCTATCCCTTCCACCTGCTTTGCAACCCCCTGGAATCCTAATCAAATCATTCTGCCCACCTTTCTGCTTCCTCTTCCTACGTGCCGCCCCTGACGTCTGCATCCCTTCCTGGTGTGATGGCGGCAGCGCGGTGCCGGTGCCAAAGAATTTAGTACATGCGGTAGACAATGGCTGCGACCTGCCAGGGGCAATGACGAATGCCGTACAAAACACCGTGTGCCGTCGCCCCCTTCGCAGCCGATCTCCGCGGCCGCGTGGCGTTCTTCAACACCATGTCCAAGTCCAAGGAGCTCTTCCGGCCTCGACTGGCCGATGGGCGCGTCAGTATGTACGTCTGTGGCGTCACGGTGTACGACTACTCCCACATCGGTATGTTGTTTTCTGTAATGTCCCATTTGTGTTAGTGTGTTAGTGTTAGTGTGTGTGTGCTGTCTCCCAGTGCTGTATGAGTGTGATGTGGCGACAGCGCAAAGTTCTCTTTTTTTCTTTTCGGTTTCGAGGGTTTGAAGATGCAAGATGGGAGGCCTCGTGAGGTGGTCCGGTCCGGTCCGGTCCTGTTCTGGCTGGTTAGCTCTCTAGTCACTCTAGTCCTTTGCGCTCCCTTGGGATTGCCCGTGAGGCGTGTGGCACTGAACAATCTGCCCAGGAGGAGGAAAGCCCGGCGACCTGAACCTCAAAACACACAGACGTACAAACGCACACTCACAGACGCACAGACGCACACATACAGCACGTGAAGCTGCGTTCCATCCCCCTTCGCCCTTCCCGGTCCACCTTCAACACCCCACCACGCACCCCACCCCAATGCGACACAACACAACACGACACAGGCCATGCCCGTGTCTACGTCGCCTTCGACGTGCTGTACCGCTTCCTGACCGCCGCGTGTGGGTACGACGTGCAGTACGTACGGAACTTTACGGACATTGACGACAAGATCATTGCCAGAGCCCAGCAGGTCGGTAGGCAGCACTACACCCACCCCGCTATGTTATGGGGGGGCTTCAGGGCGGGAAGGAGGGGGGGCGGGAGGTGTCTGTGGGGGGTAAACTTGCTTAGGGTTCTAAAACCCGTTTCGTGTTCTTCCGTAAGTCCTGGCAGTCCGCCAGTCTTCTCCCATGTCTACATCGCCTGATTACCTCTTCCCCACCCACCGACCCACCGACCCACCCACCCACCCACCACACACATGCACAGTTCCTGCCACCGCCTTTTTCATTCCGAGGCTTCCTTTCCCTTCCAATCCTTTCCTTTCCTTTCCTCTCTCGTTGCCCCTTTTCTCCCTCCTCACGTGTTGCACCACCTGGGGGTCCCCTCCACCTTCCCACCCCCCCCCCCGTTTTCATCCCCTCCCCCCCCCCCTGCCTGATCGACCCACCCACCCACCGCAGTCCGGAGTGGATCCATCGGAGCTCACGGAGCGCTTTATTCGAGAATTCAACCAGGTAGGCACGGGGGCTCTAGGCACGGGGGCTAGCAGCTAGGGGGGGAGGGGGAGGGAGGGTTAATAGAACGGTTCTCGGGGTAGGGCGGAGGTGGAGGTGAAGGTGGGACGTGGCCCTGGTACTTGAAAGGTTTGCGGTCGAAGGAGAGCAGGGGCCCACTCAGTACCCCCACTACACAGTGCCCATCCGCGATGTCCTCCCTCTCTCTCTCTCTCTCCATCAGGATATGGCCGCCCTCAACGTCCTGACACCCACCCTGGAGCCCCGGGCGACCGCCTTCGTGCCGCAAATGATCTCCACCATCACCGCCATCATGCAGCACGGCCACGCCTACGCCGTGGAGGGGGGTGATGTGTTTTTCGACGTGACCTCCCTGGAGGGCTACGGCCGCCTCTCAGGCAGGGCTCTGGAGGACAACCGCGCAGGGGAGCGAGTGGCGGTGGACGGACGGAAGCGCTCCCCTGCGGACTTTGCGCTGTGGAAGGCGGCCAAACCCGGGGAGCCCTCCTGGCCCTCACCTTGGG